CAATTTCCCCTATTTGTGTTTCTCAAGAATTTGTCGAAGATGCATGATAATTGATAATGTAAGTTTTTATAATTTTTACCTTAATTAATGTTTCTTCTGCACATTAAACGTATCAATTAGATTATTTGACTGTTACTGAATCATAGGATGTCGAAGAGGTGGACTCATAGGATGTCAGAGCCAAAAAGAGAAGAAAGAAAATAAAAAATAAACAGATAGGTAACATAAAATGATTAAGACAGATAAATAAATATAAGCTAAAAATGACATATAAACATAAGAAAGATAAAAGATAAAAAGATAAAAGAACATAAGAAAGATAAAAGATAAAAAGGGAAAAGTACGGAAAAGGTACTAGTGGTTGGGCCCATTTTCAGACAGGGTCATGTATTTCATTCTTTATCAAAGTGATTCATGTGTTTGAATTCCGTTATCACAAGAGGGTCACACCATTAAAAACGTCTGACAAAGACCGTCAAAAGTAACTACGATTTTCAAAAGTGCCCGGAAAATTAAAAGAAAAACACTGAAAGGTGCGCCTCAATAAGATGATTGTTAGGTCATCTTTCTTTTTTGTTTTCAGCCACCCTTGTCACCGGAAAGTCCACCGGAAAAGTGATATTAGTGAAATCATTTTAAAAAAATGATTCAAACATATCTAAAAAATACAAAGGCAATGGTGATTTGGAGGTCATCTTGACGAGGCGCGCCTTTCGGTATTTTGCTTTTAATTTTCCGGGCACTTTTGAAAATCGGAGTTACTTTTAATGGTTTTTTTCATACGTTTTTAACGGTGTGACCCCTCTTGTGATAACGGAATTCAAACACATGAACCACTTTGATAAAGAATGAAACACATGACCCTATCTGAAAACGGGCCCAACCACAAGTACCTTTTCCGTACTTTTCCCAAGATAAAACTAACATACGAGCATAGAAAGATAAAAGAAAAGCATAAAGAAAGAGAGAGAAAATAGATCGATCGTCCACGCGAATATGCACCCGCACCCTCTACTTTTCTCTGTTTAGAGACGTACTCTCATCCAACCCAAGAAGAAACATATCAATTCTGATTCCTCTAATCCAAGTATGTTTGAGTCTTTCTCTCCCTCTCCTCCCCGCCTCTTCTCCCCAGCTCTCAACTCATCTAACAGATGCATCACTCAGTCTTCTACTCACATGACCAAACCACCGCAATCGAGATTCTTGCATCTTATCTTCTATAGGTGATACTCCCACCTTGTGTCTGATTACCTCATTCCTCAAGCTATCTTTTCGGGTATGTCCGCAAATCTATCGCAACTAACATACGCATCTATGTCAAACTCATCTTTTGATTTGAGATTGTTCCATCGCCCAATTAACACTTTATGCCCATACAAGAATGTAGCATTAATTTACCCTTCAGTCTAGTCGGCATACCTCGATCACATAGAATTCCTAATGCATGATTCCATTTCATCCATCTTACTCTGATTCTATGAGATACTTCTCCATTTGATCCTTTTGGATTATGGAGCCCAGTAACGGAACAAATCACAAACCAGTATCTCCTTTACACAAGGGTAATCCCATAGTTACTACTGTTTCTGCCTCCACCATACTTCCACTCCATATACTCAGTCTTGCTTTGACAGAGTAGTAATTACCGCCAAGTGATTGCAATGGTTTATGAGTGTTTATGTTTTTTACTTTTAATTAGTCTTTACGTTGTGATGTTGTGGGTGTTGCACATTTACAAAGCAACCATTTAATTTCCTCGTTTATCGTAATTTATTAGTTTTAGAGGGTCTTGATCATGGATAAATTAGTCTACAACAAAGGAGAATGGAAGAGATCTTGCAAAATCAAAGCAACATGCAAGGGATCCAGAAATAATGCAAGAAATCTGATTTGGTGTCACACCCGAGCGGTTATAATCAATATCCGCTCGGGTATGATTTGACCGAGATAAATACAAGATCAAATAAAGGAAGAGAAGATGGGGAATTCAGATTTGGTCATATACCCCCGGTCGGTATATTGACATTACCGGTCAAGGTATAACTAGATTATTTCAGCACTTTCATAGCTACGACCCAGGATAGCCGGTCGGGTATACGACCCAACCTCACCAAAACACCTATAAATACACCATTTTCCTTCCCATTTTGTTAACATTCTTCTGTATCATAAAGCGCAGTTTATATTAGTATTTCCTTTATATTTTCTAGCATGTTTAGTCTCCAAATGAGGAACTAAACTCTTTTATCTTGGCCAAATTATTTTCTTAAACTTCTTTCGTTGAATATTAACTTTCCCATTAGCCTATCTCTATATTAATGTAGGATGAGTTGCTAAGTGGTGATTAGTTAACGCTTTGACATTAATTACTACTAGAAATGGTCAATGAATAGAAGGTTAATCATTGATGATTTCACAAGTAACTTCGGGTTATTAATTCATGATCTCATGGGTAGTCATCTTAAGAGGGATTAACTATATTGATTAAATTGAAACTGTTTTGTTGAGGTTATCAATCTCAAATGATTTCACCAAGGATGTAAGAGATTAAATGCTACTATCAAGTCGTTATATTACAATGTTCTATACTTGGTTAATAGTAAGGATTTTCAATGAACAGTCTCGTTATTAATAACTACCCTCGATGAATTGAAGATACTCCACGATTGAACATTCGAGAAGGGCAAGTTAAAGATGTAAACAAGATCAACAAACATCTCAACAAGTTGAAAATAGCAAATCCAAGTCTTTTATCCCATTGATTTAAATCACACAGGTCTTTCACCTAATTAGTATTTAAATATTATCAAGTCAAACAAACTTAAATCCCCCCATTTGTTAGAAATTTGCAAAGAAGAACTACGTTTCTCTGTGGATACGAACCTTACTATGCTATACTACAATATTAGTGTGACTTTGTGAGTATTGGTTTAATTTTGAGCCACACGGCTTTAGTGTCGTCAAATTTTGGCGTCATTGTAACTAGCAAAGGTGGTAAAAGTGTGAAGGCACTAGTCAATGCAATGGTATAAATGTAAATTTAAAAAATTAAAACATACTTCGGTACAGTCCGATTCGGAACAAAAAAATGAGATCCGTTTCAAACCCCTAGCAAATATTCAATGCTTGAATTCAACCAAATATGAGGAGAGAAGAGCTCGACGAATAGGAGGGCAGCACGTCACCCACTATAAGTACCCCTCTTAACTCAGAAGAGGGATTGGCAATTCAATATTGAATAACATTTATATCTTGTGTCCGTCAACGTTCTTGTGTGATCAATTAGAGCAAAACATATAGACTTATGAGTTGTTCTTAAGTGTATTGTAAGATCAGTTCATTCATTTATACGAAGCAAATAAATCTTTTTCTTCCTTACCCTTCATTATAATTCTATACATCTGAATAGACCACGCACCAAAAGTACTGTGTTGGACCATTGGGCTTAGGGCATTAACCCCACTACTGTCTGTCGGAAGCAGAATGAAAAAATTTTGTTCGTCTCCCTTCCCGGAGGATTGTATCATTGCAAAACTATACACCATAGAGTAAAACTTCTAGCGTTGTTTACTTATGTGCTTAGTAAGCATCAAGTGAGCTTAGCGTTTCGAGTTGAAAACACCGAAATGAAAAAGCTAAAAATAGTAAGGTTTAAAATAAATGTTTAAATGTCAACTATGCGTGCTAACCAGTGAGTGAAAAATACTAATATAGGTAGCACGATCATGCAATCAACCAACTCAATCTCTATCAACTATTCGTTTTAACTGAACTTGTAACCACTTAATGCCAACCAAGGCATTTATATACGAGTAGTATGTAAATCATTCATGCCATATAATGAAAAACATTCCTTTCCTCAAAATTATTTCAGCAATATTATGTGATATTCATTAGTTAGGTAATTGGGCGGAAACATTACATCTTCAAAATAATGAACAAAATTAGATTAAAAAAAATTAGCATTTTACTATTATAATCGTTGACAAACGTAACACACCCTTAATCAAATTGAAACTTAAGAATACGAAATCAACCCGAGATGAGAGTAATGCTAGACCCATGAGTGAGTCATAGAAACGACCATCTTGACAAGTTGCCTACGTAGTTCACATAGCGCTTAATACTTTCTCGTCCCATAAAATTCTTCTCACTTTCCTTTTTGGGTCATCCCAAAAAATTCTTCCCACGTACCTTTTTTGAACAATTTGTGTGGTTCATATTCATTTCACTTTTTTTCTTACACAATCACTATCATACATTTCCACTTTCTTAATCTTTGTGACAAGTCAAAATGAGAAAAATTTTCTGGGACGGAGGGAGCAATAATAAGAAAAAATACAAACAATACCATAGTTTTTAAATATCATCAAGTATAGCTCCAAAAATATAATGAGATGCACCACTTGAGCCTGAATCATCGAAACCCGCATTTTAATATTATTAACCACGCGTGCATAAGGATTCAGTCCCAATGTACAGTCATTTTTTAGTTTCTCAATTGGAGACATCAAATAATAATTTATTGCCTAATTCGGAGTAGTTTTTGGTTGATTGTGTGACCGGGCAATTCAAATGTGTAGATAAGTTATGTCAGTTTCTACTTGCTGAAAATCAAAACAACGAGATTCAAATGTACCAATTAAGGTGAGGTATTTTCATTTTTTGTGATTGAAATTTTGTAGTTGAGAGTGATTGAATTGAACACAAATGAATTTGAATCTTAAACCAAATGTTAAAAGGAGTTTGTTTGGACATTTGTTGGCATTGGGCCATCATATCTAATTTGTGGCCCACATGTTTAATTAACTTGAGAAAAAAGCGTCGAGAAATGGGGAAAGCTTCTTCTTGCGGCAAAGAAGAAAGAGAGTGGAAGAGATTTTTGGTTGGTTGGTGGCTCCGTTGGTTGGATCTGTCATCTCTCACCTTCAGCGAGCGATTCAAAGGCATTATTTCAAGCCGGAAAAAAAGGTATATGCATATACTCCCTCTTTGGATCTCGGATCTCTAAACACTCTACTTTCCCTTTTCATTCTCCATCTCACCACCCATCGTCGATTCCGACCATTTTATCTTCTCCGATTCCCCCCTTTTACCCTCAATTAGGGTTACGCTTCTCCGCTTTCCCGTAGCGTGTCCAATTTGTTGTGCTTCTTCTGTTATAGGAGCTGGAGAGGCTAGACTGTAGGAGCATAGCAAATTTTGATCTCAAAGATCAGGTCTTCTGAGGAAGAAGAAGATCTGAGGCATTCATAATGAGCGCTTCCAAATTCATCAAGTGCGTAACTGTGGGTGATGGTGCGGTTGGCAAGACCTGCCTCCTGATTTCATACACCAGCAACACTTTCCCCACGGTTTGTCTACTTTCCCCCTCCCCCCTCCCTCGAAAACCTCTTTGCCTCATTTCCTAGAACGTGTTACATTGTTTTGTTTTAATTTACGAACAAATGCTTTAATTTAATCGCCTTTTGTTGGAAACGGTTTACTCAAGCTTCGCCTATCCTTGTTGGTTTTGACAAGCATATGAAAGTTTCATCTTTGATTGCATCACTATTTGGGTCCGGCAGTATAGCTGTAGCACAGGCATTTACAGCTGATAGTCACAATCTCAAATGTTTGTCTAATTGCGTTCGGCCCTAGATCAATGGTCTATCCTAACCCCAAGTTGAGGCTATGCTTCCGAGTACGAGAAATTGAACAGAAAAACACAAAAAGGGCGAATCTTTCTATTTTTTGAATCCTCTAAGTGTATTTTTGGACACGGAAAATGTGAGTGAATGAGAAAAGTAATAAGGAAAATCGTTTTCTTGTGTCTAGCTTTACCTGGGAAAATGGAACATGTTTATTATTCTTGTTAACTATTTCATATCTCTATTTAATAATAACATATTGAGAATAAAGTGAGTTTTAGTACATATCTAAATATATTTTTTGAGTTTGAGTCATCCTTTATTATCCCCCAGATATCTCTATCCATTGTATTTGTCGGATTCCAAACAGACCATAGTGGTAGTGTTTTCAATAATTTGTGCAATACAAAGTCTGTTTAGTCTTAGGGCTGGAAGTTGGACTACCTAAGGATTAACGTTTACTTCATTGTCATTCCTTTATGGTTTCCCCTTGTTTGGGTGCATTGTGTGTGAATTTTTTAAATTTCTGGTGCTCGGATGAATATGTTATCTCAATACAAATCAACCATTGAGGAAATCAATTCTCAAAGTCTGGATTATTGAATTTATGCGGCTATCTTCATCATCTATGCTGTGAAACTTCTGTAAAACTATTTTTATAAATTTTGGACAACTTGTAGCTTTTATATTTGTTGTATTTTAAATGCATTTTGGAAAGGCTAATCTACATTTATGTTAAGTTATTCTTGTATCTAGATTTTATTACAGAACTTGTAGAGGATGATTATTAGAGCTCAATGATTTGATAACTGGTTTGTAAATTTATAATTTCTTATATTCACAAGTGCAACAGGATTATGTCCCAACTGTATTCGACAATTTCAGTGCAAATGTGGTTGTCAATGGGAGTACTGTTAACCTCGGGTTGTGGGACACTGCTGGTAACTATTTCAAAGTCCATTGATACTATTCCTGTTCTAATTAAACTTCAGTAATACAGGCTTGCAGGAAGGACAGGCTATTTATATGCTTAAATATGTTCTTTCGGCTGTGCAAAAATAGCATTTTTCTAGGTTCCTGTAAATCGTGTTTATTTACTTTACTTTCCTATTTCATTTTAGTTCCTCTGTCTGCTTCCGTTCGAAAACTGGCACGCCTTTCAGGACTCAAGTCTCTCCTCACAAAAGGCTTAAAATTTTCATCTTTTCTCTGCAAATGTAGTTCGGAAATTCCTTGGATATTTCCATGGACGAAAATCGTACTTGTGACATCAATAAATTTTGTGGAAAGCCCATAATGCATTTCAGTTAGCCATATCTCACATGCCATTTTTTTTCAAGCAGACATAGAGGAACTTAAAAGAAAATGTGATAAATTAGAGGGATGTATAACAAATAAATTCTTTTGTTGGTAAGCTATGCTATATTTGCTGGGATAAAAAACATTTTTAAGCCTATATTTATGTAATTATAGGCTTACCTGTATGCATCAATATAATACCATACATACAGGACAAGAGGATTATAACAGACTGAGACCTCTGAGTTACCGTGGAGCTGATGTATTCATCTTGGCATTTTCTCTCATTAGTAAAGCCAGCTATGAAAACGTTGCCAAAAAGGTTGAGATTTGATTGTTATATACAGAAGTTCTATTTAACATTTTTGTGTGGTTCTTGGTGAACTTATCTTAGTTTTGATCAATCTCTTGCCAGTGGATCCCCGAGTTGAAACATTATGCTCCTGGTGTGCCTATAGTTCTTGTTGGTACTAAACTTGGTTAGTAATCATACTCCGTTCTTTTACAATGGTAACATTAATACAGTGTAGTTTTCTTCTGTGGTAAAAAATTAACTAATTGGATTTATAAAATCTATCTTTACTTGTCATTTAGACTACAGAGTAATCTCTGTTCAGTGCATATATTAAATAATTATATACTACCTCCGTCCCGTTTATATTGTCCCGGAAGAGGGTGACACGGTTATTAAGAAAAGTGGCTTTGTGTGGTTGATATTAATTGATAAAGTAAGAATAAAGTAAGAATGATTTAGAACCACACAAATTTTGCCAAATATGGTATGGGACAATTTAAGTGGGACTTCCCGAAAAGGTAAAACGGGACAATATAAATGGGACGGAGGGAGTAGATTACTCTCGACATAGAAAGGTTCTTGTTTCATCAAGGTACAACTATTGATTTTGGTGGAAGTAAAATTCTTGTAAATTGTCAACTGTACTTATATTTTTAAATTTTTATGTATTAAAATTAAACTTAATGTACTTATCTTGTTTGGAACACGTTTTAAAAAAAAAATGCATGAAATTCAAAGAAAAATGGCTGCTTTTTAAAAAAGGGGTCTCTTTTTTGCAACAAAAGTATGTTTGAAGCATGACTTTTTTTGCGACACAAAAATATTTTGAGACAAGACTTTTAATTGGGATGGATGGAATAATTAAATGTACTCCTCTGGAACCTTCAAGTGAAAAATCATGAAAATGTTCTTAATATTGCTTAAGCTTTCATAAAAATATATAAGCACTTGGTTTGTTCAAATCCACTACTAGATTATTGTAATTTTCCGATTTATCACAAAATCAAATAATTACCCTTTATAATAATTGAATCAGATCTCCGGGATGACAAACAGTTCTTTATTGACCATCCTGGTGCCGTGCCAATCACCACTGCTCAGGTGTGAGCAAAACCGTTAATCTTCGTCTGTTTAATATATGGAGAGCAGAAAGATATTTTGACACTGCAGTTGTGTTCTTCAAACTAATGTGCTTTCCAAATCCAGGGAGAGGAGCTTAGGAAATCGATTGGTGCACCTGCTTATGTTGAGTGCAGTTCAAAAACACAAATGGTTTGTACTGTTTTATCATCTTATTTTGCATTTCATGGTGATCTTTGGCCATGTTTAGTATGATACTGGGGATTAAATGATGAGGAGTGAGATAAAATTATGTTTGGGATGATGGGAATTGGGTATAGGCTCATACATAGCGCATGGTTTGTGGAGTAGGGTCAGACATTTCAGATGGGTTTGACTTAAACCATCTCAAATGTGCCTAACAAACCTGAACCAAAGGATGTTTGGTTTTCTTATCCCATTTTAAATCAAATCAATCTCTAAACTGAACAAACCCAATTCAAACCTAAAATGCCAACACTTGATATGGAGGGGGAGCTCTTGTGGTTTGTGCAATTTCAGGAACAGAGGATTCCCGGAAATATCCAATTTCCTGCCTTTTTTTCAATTCCAAACAAGGCCTTTGTGCTTAGTGGTTGTTTTGTCATTGCTATTAATGGTTGCAGAATGTAAAAGCAGTATTCGATGCTGCCATTAAAGTTGTGCTGGCACCGCCCAAGCAGAAGAAAAAGAAGGGCAAGGCTCAGAAGGCTTGCTCGATATTGTGATTGGCTGAAGATATATGACTTAATACTATTCTCTTTTCTACCCCTCATTTCATCTTGCCGCCTCTTCCTTTGTTTCAGAGGATGGGGGGTGGTCGCACATTTTAGGGAAACAAGTTTGCACAGTGATGCTGCTTTTACTTTTAATGCGTTGTATTGTCTTAATCCTTTCTATTTTCTGGTTTCCACTATACTGCATAGGATGTTCAACTCATCCATTTTACATATTGTAGAATGTAATAGTTGTATTTATTTATAATCTATCCGAAACTTCTATATATGTCTTTGCAAGTTGGATTGCGACAGGGATGAGAAATGTGTTTAGGCATTTAAATGTAAATGAATCAACTCGTGGTGTCATTAATCGTCTACCACTACGAATTGATTTCATTACAAGGTATTATTTCCTAGTGCCATCCCAAAACGGAGTATTAGACTATTAGTGTCAGAGTTCATCAATTACTATGTGCAACAGTGCAATGCTGGTCACAAAAAATTACTAAGTGCAATGCTGTATTAAGCTTTTAGGCAAATGTGAAAACATGCTCTTAACCTCTTCAAATATTTTGAGAGTAGAAGTATGATGTTTGCCTTTAAAACATGATTCCAAAATTTCCAAGTTCAGAATTTCAGATGGTCATACAAATGCATGCTAAAAGCGTTAGCATTAGAGTATATTTAATATTTAACATCTTTGTTTTTTTCAACTACTACTTTTGTTCCGTTAAGATTTTACCATTTTGGATTTTCGGTCTATCCCATCAAGATTTCTCCATACCTTATTTGGTAAAGTTTGTGAGATTCTAAATCATTCTTACTTTATCAATTCAATATCAATCACATAAATCATTTTTTATAAATTTGCGTGTGATTCCCTCTTGTCCCATTGTTAGTGAGATGGAGGGAGTATTATTTTGTGTATTGCGGAAAAATATATTTTGCAGGGCCGTCTAATGAATTTGGAGGTCCTGGTTCAAAACTAAAAAATGGAGCCCCACTTTATATAAAAAAAAGTAAAAAAATATCTCAAACCAAATACTTAGACTTTTTTTTGCAAGAAACCAAATACTTATAATTAAATAAAGGGAAAATCGCATATACGGTCCCTCAGTTATCCACGAAATTAAAATCTCATACCTATATTTCTTAGATTGTAAATGCCACCCCTCTATTGTCCAAAATGCTGTAAATGTGGTCCTTTTGAGGGGTGAAGTATACAATGTGGGCAATAATACATTTCACTACTTAAAGGACCACATTTACAACAATTTGGACAATTGAGGGGTGACATTTACAATCTCAGAAATACAGGTCTGAGATTTTAATTTCGTGGATAACTGAGGGACCATATATGCGATTTTCCCTTAAATAAATTGAATATTTATTAAAAGAGAACTAAAAGAGTAAAAAGATCAACGAAAAAAATGACGGATCTATATTTTTCTTCCTTACTAGCTAATTGTATTTTGCTGCTTAGTATTAATATATAATATTACTATATAATACTAATAAACATTTAAAATTTTGGGGTCCTATAAATCCGGAGGCCCTGTTCTGGATAATCTATTGAACCCCTAAAAACGGCCCTGATATTTTGCCTACTCTATATTTTGTCCTTTCTTTTGTTGCTGATGATTTAAGTGAAGACTAGGTTGCTAGTTGTGATAACCAACTATTTTCTTGTACGTAATTATCTGTGCACAGAAAATGCTGCACATGTATGTATAGGGATGGATCGGGCTAGGCTGAGCTCCGGGCCGGAACTGGACCGTCTGGACGGGACCGGGACTAAAAATTTCAGGCTCGGTGCCGGCCCGAACTTAAACAGTGTTGGTGTATACAGGCGAGGGGTCTAACAATTTCATTAGTATTTATGTAGTATGGTGTACATGTGTGATCATAAGAGTATCATTGGCTTTTACTCTTATTTTAATAGATAAGGTATTTATCTTTAAAAAAATTAATAATTCTTGGTGTACACAAAATTTATACACATTTCGTACACATTTGTACGTAATTATCTGCACACAGATAATGTTGCATGAGCTGCCATTTGTGGGTGTACACATTATCTTTGTACACAAACAATCAGGCATAAATGTGTGCTAAGTGTGTCCATATAGATTTTTTTTGAAAAAAATATTATGTTGAATACTTGAATGCATCAACGTTGAGTTGAATGACCCGGGCCATCTACCCAAAAGTTATCTTACACGGGCAGACAATGTGAAGGAGGATCAGATTTTGTAACAACAAAATTGCATTGGAAATTTCTAAAACCAATACTGCCTTTGGAGTTTGGACAACTTTTTCCTTGTTCTTGGTTGTTATACCCTTTCTTCATTAGTTCATCATAGTCTACAGATATAACTCATACGTAGTATAAGTATACGGAGTATAATCCATCATAGTCTACCCTGGGAGTGCAGAGATGTTCCATCCGTTTTTATCTAATGGTTCTGTTTTACACATTTCATTCTCTCCTACTGTTCACTATCCTTCATTTTTCATTTTAAACTTCACCCAAATCCTAGTCATCAGACAATTGCAAGCAGAGAAGTGTACGTGACCGGTTCCGGGCCAGGCCGGGCTCCGGGCCGGTCCAAACCAGGCCTTAGGGGGGGGGGGGGGGGGGGGGGGAGGCCCGTAACCGGCCCGGGATTCCACCGGGTCCGGGCCGGGCCGGGCCGGTTTAATATTTTTTTTTTGCTTTTCTAATTAACCTCCGACCCCCCACCCCCACCCGGCCACCCCCCAAACCTCCCCAAAACACCCAGCCCAACCGGGGAAAAACAAAAAGAAATTGAAAAAGCAAAAACAAAGGCCCGAACCGGGCCCGGCCCGGCCGGTTCCTATTTTCCATGAATCGAGCCCGCTCTTAGTAACACCCGGTTCGGGTCGACCCAGGCCAGTCCAGGGTTAAAGATGAATTCGATAAAGTCATAATCACATGACGCTAACAAAAAATCCAATCATGTGGGTAAAAATAAAATATCAAGACAAAGAGAAAAATTAGAAAAAGGTTGGGGGGGGGGTCAAAAAAATAAAGAGAGAGAAAAATTAGAAAGAGTATCTAAAAAATTATAAACATGAATGAAGGTAAGGTTATTTTTGGCATACAAAATTTGTTGGTGCAACTTTAAAGCTTTTTGACCTTGTACCACACGGCAAAGTCATTGTACTCCTTCCTTAATTTATGCGTCACTAAATGGCTTGCCCATCACTCCGTCAGTACAACCTTACTTAGACTCACTCCGTTTCCTGTCTCCCTTTACGCACCAGAGGCTAGAGGTGAATAGAGTCACAGAGATGCCAATTGCCGCTAAGAATCCACATCTTATGGCTTACAAGGAATGCCGGCGTCAAGCTCACTGCCTTCCTTGAGTTCTTTCCCTTCATCTTCACACCAGCACTATCTTTTCTCACTCGACATCTTTCCCTAATTCCCTTCTTTTAATCACGATGGTGGCGTTTATGATGTGATTCAATATAGCACTCTAAATCCCTTGCAATCCTCCTTTCTTTCCATGTGTTATGAAGCTCAAATTGTGTCAATTGATGAGATTCTTACACCTTTTAATCGTCCCTCACTGCTGTTTATAATTAATTGTGTTTCACCCATCACTCTTCCGGTGCTCATCACTCGCAAAAATCTAAATTGAATTCCATTTACTTTGCCTTTTGTACACATCTTCTTTTATACTCCGACATATCGTTTCTCACTTAATGCTGTACACATTACAAAATTTGCTTTTTATTTGCCTTTACCACGATTGATACAGGATTTGGAATAAATTGTTTTAACTTTGCGAGTCTATTTTTAGTAAATTGCCTTTTACCACGATTGATACAGTTTTGAAAATTATTTTTTTCCTTTCTATGGCAATAAAATATCTTTTTATGTTTTTTCAGGACCTAATTACCAAATCAAATTTAGTTTTAATTTTATGATTAATATTGCTGAATCTAATTTGTTTCCTAAATTCCATTTATTGTCTTTTGTTTTCAATATTGGAGTGGTTCTGTTAGTATCTTATTGAACTCTCACTGGTGTAAACATACAGGCTACCTGTTACCCTTGAATAATAATTACTACCTCCGTCCCTAAATGTTCTTCCAAAATAAAGTGACACGCTGATTAAGAAAGTGGGAATGAGTTTTTGCCACTTTTGGTCCACCGACTTTAGTGTTAGTGACACTTTTGGTACTCAACTTTCAATTATTCCATTTTCGGTCCTCAACTATTGTGTGATAGACATTTTTAGTCCCCGACTTTAAAGTTTTCCACATGTAGTCCCTTAAGTATTATCAAATTGACACTTTTAGTCTTTTCACTATGATTTTGACACAATAAATAGAGGACTAAAAATGTCACTCTTATATTAGTTGAAAGACCAAAAGTGTCACCTTTATGAAAGTCGGAGGACTAAATATGGAAAATTTCAAAGACAGTGACCAAAAGTGTCTTTCGCACAATAGTCGAAGGACTAAAAGTGGAAAAGATCAAAGTCAAGTACCAAAAGTGTCAGTGACATAATAGTCGGAGGACTAAAAATGACAAAAACTCATGTGGGAATTGTGTGGTGGAGAGTTGTGCAGAGGAGAGAGAAATGTTGTGAACCACAAATTCTTTGCCAAAAAGGGAAAGTGAAGTTCTTTTTGGGACGGACGAAAAGGGAAGTTGAAAGTTCTTTTAGGAACGGAGGGAGTAATAATTACTACATGTCTATATTGTGTGGGTACAATTTTTTAATCATGGCACTAATTCACAATCTATTCAGCACAAAAGGTATTCATTCTGTAACACCGTCCCCAAAAAGTATTTACTTTTAAGTAAATAATGTATTGAACTTATGGAATGGTTAACGAGTATTCGAAGTTGTGAATTTTTATTAATGTTTTTGCGTGAATAGTAAATTCGCACGTGGGGCCCGCACCGGGAGCGGGGGCCGCCCGATATTCCCGAGACCGTATATTTTATTCATCTTGGTCAATATAATATTTATATAGTGGTGGATAATTTATTTGGTCCAAAGAAATGATATAGAGTTGACCGGTTGATCAAAAAGGCCAAAATACCGGTACTGGTAATTTAACAGATAAAAGCCAGAAATGAATTTCGGGAACTTATAAATTAAATTTGGGGGATGTATATTCATTATAAGGGTCATAATGATTGGGAACACATAATATATTTTATTTGACCCGATAAAATAAAATATATCTAAAACAGTCCGAAAAATACAACTTTCGGGACCGATTGTACACTTCTGGACAGAAAGGGTTGACCTCCCACATGTGTGGGGGCCAACCCACGAATTTGGTCACCCAAATGTGATGGTTGAGATGATGTGGGAACATGGGAGAGGTGT